TTTTGTGTACCCCTTTTTTGTGTACCCCTTTTTTGTGTACCCCATTTTGTGCACCCTTTTTTTTCCTCCCATGTGAACCACGCCGCAAAGGTGGAGGCAGAGTTTTTCCTCAAAGTCTAAATAGGACAAACACCGACATGAAAAGAAGAGCTCCTAACATTTCACTTTTTTCTCGTGATAAATTTTTTAAGGGCGCCAAACGCGTGCATGCCAATATAACACATGTAAAAAAAATGGCCTATGCGACCATGTACACCACAATTCCCTCCTTAGACAGTGCCTTTCCAACAGCTAGCTTTCTTTGCGCACCTACCACGTACGTAAATAATCACAAATGTGACGTTTTAATCGTTTTTACCTTTTATATTTTATTATATTATTTTTTTTTTTTCTGCAAAATTAATTCCGTTCGAGGATTTCCCCTTTTTCGAATTTTCTCCCTTTTCGGGGGAACACAAATGCATACCCGTTTGAGAAAAAAAAAAAAAAAAATTACACTTCTTCCAAACTGACTGGACAATGTACATCAAATAGGGATGGGAAAAGAAATGGTAGGCCCCCCCCAACCCCCCCTCTCTCTATGCGATGTTCCCCTTTTTTTGGCCACGGATTGCTTTATGCGGGGGGGTGTATTCCGTTCCACTGCCTTCCGCCGGTACTCATATGCATTATCACCCATATGTTTTCACAGCATAGGTAAGCTCAACACTGTTACATGGGGTGTAGGTAGATATTCCGGCGTTCCACGAGTGGAAATGCCCTTTTCATCCCCCTTGTGGTGGAGGGGAAAAGTACGTGTGCTCGGGGACATTTCGGCGTTGGCTCGTTTTTTATTTGTTTTTTTTTTTTGATGCATTTTTCGTTCGAAATGTATGCGAAAGGGTGGGGGTGGGTGGCTACCCAATTTTTTAGTGTGCCCAGGCTGAAATACACCATTGGGTGAAGTTCCTCCAATAGAGCAGCTAGTGTTCCTACGTCCCACACGTCGTTCGATGTGTCCGCCCACTTTTATGCATAATCCGTGTTTAGGCGTACTTTTGTTTCCCACAGTGGTAAAACTAAAATGATGCCTTTTAAAACATACAGCGAAAATTTCCTGCCGACAATTTTTTTTTTTTTTTTTTTTTTTGTTAACGGGTAAGAGCGCTCCTTTTGGTGCGACAAGAACGACGCGTCAGCATCGCCAAGTATACACAATAAACGTAGTTTGGGAACAAAAAAAAAAAATCTACCACCTCGGAGGCATAATCGTGAGTAAAAAATAAGGCATGTGCTACAACATTGGAGAAAGGTTTCGATGAAGAGAACTGCAATTCCATTTTCGTGCGTTCCGCAAATATTTCTCACTTCTTGGGTCAATTGATGAGGGGAAAAGGACACCAATCTCCTCATTGGGTTCACTTGACGCAGACTTCATTTTGCATTTTAATAAGTCCCCTCCCACGGAAAAAAAAAATATATATATATATATATATATATATATATATATATATAATAACTAACTCCACAGCAAGCGGCCCCTCGACTGAATGTTTAAACAAATGTTCTCTCAAACGTGACAACGCGTGTACCATGAACAAAAGCATTTTTGACCCCTGCCTGCATTTTGGTCATGTAGTAGAAACCAAGACCCAGGATGGACAGACCTTCCAAGGAGAACTCTACTGTTACGATACAAATTTGAATTTTATAATCATTAAGGATGATAATAAAAATGGCACAGCCAATTTTTACATTATTAAGATTGATGTTATCCTAGACCTAGAGATACGAAAAAGAATGAAAGTTGTGTATGACCCTGTTCCTCAAGTTGAGGGGTCCCTGGTCGAGAGAATTGAACAGAAGGCCTTGGAAAAATTTGAAACCATTAAGGCACGCATTGGAATTGGCGTAACGCAGGAGGCACAGGAGCTGTTCGACTTTATATGGAAAACGTATGCCCACGGCGAGGACATAACAAATGCGCATTGTTAGAGGCTACCCCTTGTTGGGGAGTGGTGTGTGTGTGGCTTCTCTCTCCCGTGTGTTGTTCCATGCCCCCTTTTTCCGACCTTTTACACTGCGCCCCTTAGGCACCCTGACTGCACTTGGAGCAACAAAGACATTTTGGTCCTTAACGGCGAGGTCAGGATCAAGCCGCCTTATGGACCCGATAACTGCGTGGCCAAGAATGAAAATTTGAAGGACAGATTCTCCACAGTGGTAGGGAAAGCAACTGAGCGGGAGAGAAAAGGGAGCATGTGTGTGCATGCTCCTTCATGGACTTTCTACATATTAATCATTTTGTTTTATTCACGGGCGGGAAAGCGACGTGTGAATGACTACTCGGCACGACGCCTTTCTCCGCATCCCTCCTCCGCCCCCCTCCAATATGCTGTCGCCAAATTTTTTTACCCAGCGCAGTTTAAGTTGGTACAACCCCTCATTAAACCCTACACTGATTCGCTTTTTCCGTTCCCCCCCCAGATCTCCAAGTTCCGCCAGAAGAGGAGTCATATGTCCAGTTGGGGATGAGTCCCTTGAAGAAGGAAAACGGTTGCGTCAGGACTTCCACATGGTTGATACACACGTGTGTATCTCCACAGGAACCGCTTAGTAGTTTTTCATGTGGACAATTGTGCATGCATGTATCACGCACAATAGGTTAGTTAGCCAAACAAAAAAATTGCTTCTACCCCCTGTTGGACTTTTTTCCCTCCATGCGTGAATATTCCCGAAGTAATGTCTCCAGACGGACGCATGCACAGATGTGCGGAAGCACAGACGCACGGACGAGCACATTTGCATGACCCCCCTCGAGTGTGCATGAACGTGGTACATCACTGTGTGTGCCAACTGCACTAAACGAATTCATGTCTATTTGTACACTTCACTTTTAATTTAAAAAAAAAAAAAAAAAAAACTCTCATTTGATAAGAAGTATCCACTTGTGGTAATAGGTTGAATTACCCTACTCGGTGCTCACTCCTCCACTTGGGTGGGGACAGCACAGATCGTACATAAGTTGCACCGACTCGTATCCTATATAGATCCTTCCCCTTTTTACGTCTCCTCTGGCTTGGCCGAAATGGGCTTCCTCCTCTTCATGTCTCTTCTGGGTTCTCCAAAATGGGCTTCTTCCTCGTGGCGTTCCTTTTCACTGGTTGGCACAGTCGCTGCGGGGGGTAGCGCGAGGTGGCACAGTGGATTTGCAGCGGCGCAGTTGTATGGGCGAAGTTGTAGCGCCGCATCGCTGGACGTGGCGTTTTTTTTTTTTTTTTCTCTCCCTTACGCATAGTAAACTTGAGGTAAAGGGCAAACATAAGGAAAGGGACGAAGACAATGGCCCACTGTAAAAGAAAATGTTTCATGGTACATGTATGTTTGTTTATCACATGCGTGTCCTTTAGCTGATCTCTTCGCGCATGGCTCTTCTTAGCGCATGGCTGATGTGCGTGCGTGTCCCCCACCTGGACCCAGGCGTTGCGAAGGTAGCTGGCGAAGTAGATCCAAAAGTCGGGCTCGGGGGGAGGATGAGACGCATAACCCAGTTCGTTCATTTTCGTTGCGCAGATGAACGCGGTCGTCACGTTTGGAAGATACTCCTATTTGGCCGTGCCAACGGCGACACAGAGTTGGGGGGAGGAGGCGGTTCGTCAATTCATTTGCTCGTCAATTCATTTGTCCATCGATTGATTTGCTCATCAATTGATATATATATTTTTTTTTTTTTTTTTTTTTTTTTTTTCACCTTTTTAAATTTTTTTTTTTTTTTTTTTTTTTTTTTTTTTTCCTTTGGGGAGAAACTTTTTATAAAAATGTCTATGCCGCATTGGATTTTTTTTTTTTTTTTTTTTTTTTTTTTTTTTTTTTTTTTTTTTTTCTTTTTTTTTTTTTTTTTTTTTTTTTTTTTTTTTTTTTTTTTTTTTTTTCCTTTGGGGAGAAAAGCCCGAGTTGCGCCAAGGCGCAAAATTGCCCTGACCTGTTCAGGCGAACGCCACTCAAAGGGGGAGCGGCCAACTTCGCGACACACGTCGCGTCGCATTTACGTAGCATTTTTCAATTTTGCTCGGTTCCTCAAAAAAGGAAAAATTGTGTTTATGTTGGTTTAAAAAGGACAGCACGAAGGAGTGCATGGTGGGGGAAAAAAAAAAAAAAAAAGAGGATGTGCAAATGGGCAGGCAAAGCAAGGTGCGCGGCGCAACGGCTACACAATCGCTACGCAATCGCTACACTACACAACCGCTGCGCGCATTGATCGCTGCGCGGCGCAACCGCTACGCAATCACGCCTTGGCGCGGCCCTTGCCCTTGTTCTTGCGCCTGAAGTTGTCGTACTTGGCCTTGTAGGCATGTGGCGCGCCAGTGCCCTGCAGGTGATTGCTCAAATTCTTACACATGTTAATTTGGTGCACAAAATAATCAATGAAGATTTTTTGCTGAGCTCGTGTCTTAATGTTTAGTATATCCATGTCGATGTAAAAGTCGAAGGAGGAACCAAACACAGATGTGACAACCTCTCCTTTGTACAAAGGTCCCTCTTTCCACACGAGTTGCCTCCCTGAATTCTTCACACTCATGATGTCAGATGCGACAAGTTCCTCATTGGGTGGCAGCTCTCCGCTTGGTGCCTCACCCAATTCTGCTACAAGACGTCTGTGCTCCCCATAATTCATAAGGCTGCTCAACTTTTTCAGCTGAATGTTATGATACAGCTTGGAGTAAGAAATAAAGTGAAAGGCTTTCTTCTGGTACGAAACGTCTTTTAAAAAAATATTCAGTTGGGTGGTCATAGGATCTGAGTTGTATGTTTGATTTTGTACATTCTCAAAATTAGCTAGCAGTTGAAAGCTAATATTAGAAAGCGGGTCGATAAATTTAGGAGCGACTTTGTAAAAGAGATCTGCATAAGCTTGCTCATTGGTTGTTTGTAAAAGTGCATAAAATCTTCCTGAATAATTTTCCTTAATGCTTTGTAATACCGTTTCATCTAGTCTAGTGTTAGTTAAAGAGTGACAAATTATCACGATCAAGTACATTTTATCCATTAGCTTATGTATTTGACTCTGTTCATATCTCTGTTGATTGGACAAATGAACTTTTTGCTTGGCTAAATAAATTAAAATTTGCGACAAAATTTTAATGCTATCGTTGTATCTCCTCAGCATCATGTAGCTAAATGCAATGTGATAAAAAATGTTAATGTGACACAGAGTCACCTTCCAATACAGTGCCTTGTGACTCAACTCAATAGACGATATAATTTTTAATGCTGTATAATAATCTCCCATTAGAACATATGCCTTCAATAACACACAGCAGGCAAAGTAAGCAAATTGGTACCTACTGGTTATCTCTTCATTATTAATATGAAAAACGTTATGAACAAAAATACTTCTTTCTTCATCGGGAAGGGTACTAAATTCAGCCTTCAACAAGAGACTATGTAACACTTCCAACACGATACTGCTCTCAAACACATCTGCATGTTTTATTAAAAACTCTATTCCTTCTTTGTTCTCTTCAGGATTCTTCAATATCTTTAATTTGTAATGACACATGGATTGGTACTGGTACAGATATTCCGACAGAAATTCATGAATCCACACATTTGGCATCACTAACACATTATCATTTGTGTCCCCAGACGGATCTGAACATATGCTCGAAATAAAATTCAACAAACATTTATAATTATCCCACGAGTTCTTCCTGTCCTCTAAAGTCACGTCGTTTATTATGAACACATGCCTATAATAAAGTTCTTCATATAACGAGTGAATTAAATTGTGGAACCGATTCTTCTGCTTGTAAAAAATATCGACCAACTTGATGGAAGGCCACCGGATGTTCTTGAAGTAAATATCGGAAATGGCGTAGAAGTCAGTGTCAAATAACTTCTTAATCGCTTCTGCATTTCGGTGGTACACGAAGTCGTGCAAGTTAATCAGGAACGTCTCGACCTCCTCTTCGAAGCTCACCAGCTTCTCAACCCCCCCAACGCCGTTCTCCCCCTCCCCGTACTCGGCCATGTTTGTATAACACGCGGTGTGCCGGTGTAGCCGTTTCAGCAGTGTAGCCGTGTCCGCGGTAGCCCTAAAGGAAAAAAACGTATCACCGGGGAACGGGAAAAAAAGGTAAAAACAGCAGCTTCCCCTTTCGCTCCCACGCCAACGCGGGTTTTAAAACCACTTCGTCAATGCGGCTTTTTTTTTTTTTCTCCAGGGAGCGGAAAACTCACTGGAGGATCAAAGCAACGAGATGATACGTGCCTCTAACTATAACACCGCGCTAGCCAAACTAAAGCAGTGATCACTTATGCATAGGCACAGTGGGGGGTATGCCGAGCGAGATTAAAAAAAAAAAAAAAGGGAGGTATATATATGTTTAATGGCATACGAAGGAATATAAAAAAAAAAAAAAAAAT